ATGAGGAGTTATTGCATTATAATTTATACTCATCTATACTCTGATAAACGATGATTCATATATAAAGTAACATTAATATATGATCGGGGTACTATTTATATATTAATATTAAATACTAAAGGGTAGATTATAATTACAAATAGCGTAACATTTATTATGAGTATTGTATGATAGACTACCAAGTTTGAAAAATAATCACGTCTAACTATTCGAGACTTTGGCAATTACTGGTTATATATAAAATTAATGCTAAAATTAACAAGTAATTTGTTGTTGATACTAACCGTTGACCGATGAAACCACCTGGTTGCAATTATCTACAGTCAAATCCTGCTGTTGTCCGTCAAAGTGGGCGCTGAATGTATACGGGATTTGTCTGAAGTGAAAGCCACTGCACGACAACTCCATGGGATGGGAGACAGCATTGAGTGATAGACCAGTCAATTGGTTCACACCATTGGACACACATTTCACGCTTTTAGATACGGTTACAGTTGTGTTGACAAACGGTGTAAATGCTAGCGAGTAAATAAACAAGGGCAAAATAAAATTAACAAATTATTATACTTATTTAGTATATGCATAAAGTGATAGCAGTAGCCTTGAGTCTACCATAGAATAGATTTGAAACAGTTGTAATTGAATAATTTTAGTTAAAGTTGATATAACAAGGTTCATTAATAATAATTACCAAGCAGATATTCCAAGTGATTAGGTTTGGTGGGATCTCCGGGACCAAACTCTTTCAGATCGACGTCCAATCGGCGCAAAGTTTGCTTATAATTAGGAGACAACGGGTGCTCGCAGTCTGACTGAAGTAATTGATCAAGGTCTACTTTCATAGCAGTTGGTGCGGCACCGGTAGCCCCGGTTCCAGTTTGGCAATTGTGGTTCAATGGGTTCAGGTGTTGAAAGATATCGCCAATCAAACCGCGTTTATCAACACTCGCACCGTATGCCTGAGCTGTTAGGCCTATATTATAAAGTGTTAGTTTGTTTAATAAAATGGTTATGTTAAAATATTTAATACTGTATAAGTAATTATGTATTATATGTCAAAAACTTACATAAAACCAACGTGGCTAATGCTGAACAATTCATTTTACGTTATAAATATAATTATATTCAAACAGTTTATTTATTAACAATTGATTATTTGTATTAAAAATGTTTGTGAATTTTATTTATAATAAAACTGTCTTATATACTTTAAAATTGTATAGTAGAATGTCTACCTAATGGATTTATTAATTAATTTGCGATCATTTGTACGATCATTGATTAATAACATTTAATTATTTTTATAACAAATAGGAGCTAGTTTACTGTTCCAGTATATTTTAATTAATCAAAGTGGCATTAAAAAATTGTACACTAGTTACTTTATTCAAACAGATGTATTATGGTGGATTTATTGATTTTTGATTTTAAATTATATTTAAGTACTATTACCATATTATATTAATCATATGATATTATGATAATAAATATTATTGTTATTTTAGAGTGTTATCAATGCAATTAATTACATCATTGTAAACATGTGTTTAGTACTCTTTTTCTGACACTTTTTATTTGTTATACTTACTTTAAAACAGACGGAAAATTATTGGCAAACATTTGCAAAGCGTATGGAAAGCGGTGAATACGCTTATGTGGATAATCCGTGTAATATGATGACCACTTTTATGGTAGCTGGTAATGGATCTAGCTCATTGTCTAAGAAATTTCATATATCCCGTGAAGGGGGCGGAGAATTGCCGTATTTTTTATGGTTAATACAGCGGTTGCCGATTGGCTACTAAATCCATTGAATGTGGTGTAAGTGCAAGTGTATTATTTTACCATTGTTATTTTAGTTTTTAAACTAGTACTATGTAATTATATAATTTTAATGTATAAGTCAATTACTTGAAAGTGGTATTTACAACCATTGGGTACAGGAGTTGCCTAAAATGATCGGCGGTTTAATGTTTTACGACGTGTTTTACGCAATATTAAAGAGTGGGAGGCGTTGATTGTCCGGCACTCATCCGACGCCTTATATTTGTTAATTTGTGGACATTTTCTATCGGTTGTCATTGTTTTCATTGAATTGAAGTTTTGTTGCAAAGAATTTATTAATCGTTTATAAATTACAATTAGTAAATGTCATAAATAAACATTTTGATTCAGTAAATGTACTGAAACATGTATTACTATATAAGTAATTGGCATTTATAATAGTAATAAAATTACCTTAATAAAATATATATATTTGTGTGCCATGATTAAATATTTTATGTTTACATTATTAAATATACTGCTACAATATTGCTATTAAAACATTTTAATAATTCTTTAATAAAATTACAAGTTTTGTTTAGATACATAACATTTAATTATAAATTTAAATAATAAAATGTTACATCAAATCAATGTTTGTTTGTCATTAAATGTAACTGTACTTCTCGTTTCGTGACAAACCGTTGATTACAGTCATTATTAATACATTTATAGTTTTTAATTTTATTATGTCTTCTCATATGTACTGTTAAATCACTATTTCTGCGAAAATTTTTGTTACACTTATTAAAATGACAACCAAATGGTTTTTCTCCCGAATGTATGCGTTTGTGTCGCGTAAGATCGATTTTTTGTGTGAAAGTTTTGTTACAATTTTCTTCATTACATTTGAATTTCCTTTCATTCAAATGAACACAACTTTTGTGTCGATTTAAACCAGATTTTTGTGTAAAACTTTTGTGGCATTCATTAAAATCACAAATAAATCTTGCATTCATATGAATGCTATTTTTGTGTTGAATTAAGTGTTGTTTTTGTTTAAAACTTTTATTACAATTATTAAAATCACAAATATATTGTCTTATATTTGAATGTACAAAATTATGAATATGTTTCAATGTTTTTTCATGTTTTGTTTTGTATTGACATTTAGGCCAAAAACAGTGAAAATAATAATCAGATTTAGTAATGATATGACAATTGTTTAGCATTTTATCACTGATTTTACATGAATTGCAATCAATTGTTTGATTGATTGAAAAATAATCATTATTTTCGCATTCAATCGCTTCACACAAAACACTATTATTTGTATTCAAAATACACTGAATTTTGTCTATTATTTCACACAAACTCTTCATTGCATT